ATATATATATATATATATAAGAACAGCAATTATGTGAAATAGAAATCTTATTTTATTTAATTTAATTTCTGATTATTAATTTTAATATATTACAAAAATATTTAATTATTTATTCCCAGTATATAGAGAGTTCATTTATCGACCTTAATATTTGAAATTGCAGCTCAAGAGTGTTTCAAGGCTGCATGCATAGTAACACTTCAAAGGTTAAAAAATTGTCAATAAATTACAACCAAATAAAACTCAAGGGAAACTGTTAAAATGATCCTAAACTAGAAATATATGCTTATAAACAGAAAAATAAAAAAGCTTGTAGCTCGTAGACGTAGAGGCTCAGACTAACCACTATGATGTGACTTCGATTCTGGTCTCTGCTTTTTCCATCACCAGCCTGGACAGTTGAAAGGAATGTGAATTTCAGCCCCTTTGAGGCCCCTGGTTCAAGAAAAACTAAGCTGAGGCCCTAAGGAGGCCCCTGTTCATTTCCTCCTTCTCCTCTCTCTCCCTCTCTCTCTCTGTCTTTAAATATTTCTGATGTTGTGTATACTTTGTCTTTATCTAAGAATAAAAGAGGAGTCCCTTGCCTTTGAAGAAATTCTGCGTACCACGACAGACATCGCCACTCGACTGGAGAGCTCCTCACGAGCCCTGCATGTGGAGATGATCGAACAGCTGAGGAAGAACATGAGACAGCCGCGCAAAACTAAATGACTCCTTGGGAAGCCATCCAGCATGGAAAAACTGATAAAAGTATTATATGGCATGTCACATCTATATTTATCCACAGTTTTTTAATAACAGTAAAACAATGTTGTCACCTTAAACAGTCCATATGTGGACCATTTGACTTAATTTTATCTCCCTTGCCTACTATGTTTTGGGAAAGGGCACTGTTGTCAGAGAATAGACTGAAACGCCAACTATATTTTTCTCTCTTGTCCGATGTTCATTTATGAGCCATATTGAACATATAATGGCTATGTGTACAAGGAAACATGATCATGATGAAACATGATGAAAAAATGATCTTGGCAGTGAAGGTGATATCTTAAAAGAATATTTTCTTTCCAAGTACAGACAACCCCGCAGCTATGGTCTGGCTGTCTTGGCGCTAGGGAGCAGATGGTGAAAAGACTGTATGAGGGTCTGGAAATCAGCAAGCATGAACTCACATACATTGGAGAGAGAGAGAGAGCAAGATGGAAAAACAAAAAAGAAAGGGAAAAAAAGACATGGCAGTGATGTCACTGAGGAATAAATAAAAACGTGACTTGGCAGCTTGGAGCCAGAATCTAAAAAATCAGAACAAGGAAGTAGAAACTTTGCGACTTAATGATATTTAAAAATATTTTGTGATTACTCTAGTCAATTATTGAAAAATACTTTAAGTATATAAAATATAAGTGTATTACTCTAGTCAGTTGTGGTCACTTTTGCTGTATGTGTACAGCATTTTTGATGCAATTCTGTGTGTATGCTGGTAGCTATTATGATCACAGATGCAGCTTGTGTGAAAGAATGACTTTCAGTGACATGAACTAAAGACTGTATTGAGGGTTGTATATTATAAACTGTTGATGGTGGGTTATTGTCATTCTTGATGTGGCGCTGTTGAATTTGATTCACATAAAGTGTACTTTTGTGTAAGATTATCAGGGTATCAGGTTTTAAGTCCTGTAAAATATATAAACATCAGGGAATTAAAAAAGGGGGTAATGAAAAAGTCATGGAAACTTCTGTAGTCAATATAGATTTTTTTTTTTCAAGTATTCCTCTGCTGTAGAAATTGCTCTTTGAGAGTATGATCTTTTTAAATCCAGTTACCACAAACGACTGTAAAAGTGCCATAGATATTGATCAAAAATTGTGGAAACCCTGAAATGCAGCTTACAATAAGGAATTGTTTAGGCTGCTTGTCTTAGAAACATTTATGTAAAATAGCAATGAGACATAATTACTGCCTAGGCCCACTTTTACTTTCAGGATTCCGATCCTGTGTGTTTAATTAGCATAATTATTATTAATAATAGATGTTTCTGTCTCTAAAGTCACCCACAACTGCGTTTCAGTTTCACCTTGAGTGAGTTCTTGCTTCCCGTCAGCATTTATTCAGCTACCCTGACCTCTGGTGACCGTGATTTCACCAAGTACAACAAGTTCCTGAATCAACATCCTTGTTTATCCTGGAACAACATTCCAATTAACCAATCAGAATTGAAGGATAACTTTTCAGGAAATGTCTGTTCTAGGCTTACGATCAGGGTTAGGCGCTTATACACCAGGCACGTGCACAGGTAGGGCAGACCTATAGACCTAAGAAACCATATATATATATGGTTGTTATTAATAGTGAATAAATCTAAAGCTTTTGAGACTATTATTTTGTGTTATTTCATTTGTCATTGGGGGGGGGGTGCCCTTTTTCAGTTTCAGCACATGCCCCTCAAAAGGTCTGCGCACGGCCCTGTTATACACCCTTGGTAATCAGCTATCATTTCACACTGATTTTAGGAATAAATTATGGGTAGGGTTAGGTTTAGGGGTAGGGATTGGGTTTAGTCTATATTTTCGGACAGTAATGTTCATCCAAGATCAACAAAAGATGTTGATCCAGGAACATGTTTTACTTGGCAAAATCACGGCGGCCCTGACCTCTAGCGGCGATTAACTGCAATAACAATTCAATCACTTGATGCAATAGCAATAGGGTTGGCCCTTTTTGACAAGATTTGTCTCCATACGAGTTTGCGAACGTATCCATTAAGCGTGAGGCTTTATTTATTCATTTATTATTATTATTATTAAAAATAAATTCAGACTGGTTGGAAACAGAAATCGTCAGTTTGAAATGTGGTCAAGCGTGAACTTGTGATGTGGTCCCTCCCTCCCTTTCTGTCTGACATGAAAGTGGATAGGCGGACTGAGAGAGAGATGCTCAGTCTGGAGTAAACCCTGGAAGCAGGAGCGAGGTCACGAGTCCATCTATACACTTTGTGACAGAAATGGAGTTACTCTGGGATATATCTGCTTCAAAAAAAATCCTTCTTTTTGGATGCACGTGGAAATAAATAATACTTTTTGCAGCACGGAATCTGTGTTCCTGATCTTCCGCTGAACAGGTGCGCAAAACTTAAGCTAATCAACGTAGAGAAGGAAACTTCCAGTTTGGATAAATATGGATAAACACTGGATTTATGCAACTTAATTCGAAACATTTTTTCGAAAAACCGATTTTTGCCAGCACTTAAAATACACGTGATTGAAAGAAAAAAAGAAGAAAAAAAAACTTGTCGAGAAGATACCCGGCCTAAATACAACCACCAACCCCAGATGTAGAGTATGACACCACAACAGAACACACAGAAGCCATTGAATTATACAGAAACTGTCGCGTGGAATGCAGATGAAAATATAGAAATGTATTGAAAGTAATTGGCTGTACGATGGAGCGCTTTGAGAATCAGCGGTTCTTCCTGAGGATTACTCTTCTCTGCACTTTTCTTTGTGAGTCAAGTAAGTTTCAATTTTTCCACAAATATTGCTTAATAAAAAATAAACCAAAGAGACTCATGGAACATGGTGGCTTCTAGTCCAAGCTGACTATTAACTGTATAGGCTAAACTTGTTTTGACTGCTCAACCAGCTAGCATTTCCCAAAAACCATATACTGACCACATTAATCTGGTATAATAGGGGTTTTGTTGTTGGTTTAAATTGGTCTGTCAACTTGAACCAGCTATGGCCACCCTGGACCAGAAACGCAAAATCTTGTCTAAGGGAGCCTTAAAAATAACATAAGACAAAGTTTATATTTGATTGCGTGTTTTAGGCATTTCTAACGTGCATTGATTAATATTTAAACAATTTGATTCATTGTGCGTTATAAGAACAGACTGCCTCTCTGCTTAAAAACTCAAAATATCCAGCTTAATCTGGTTTTCAACTGGCCACAATGGGAGACCATCTTATTTTAAACCAGCTAAGACCAGCAAATTATCATAGGCTGGTTTAAGATGAAGGGGGTTGGCTTTCACATATCTACAGTCAGAGTGTAGGCATTAGAATGGCACGCACGATTGCCAGTAAAATGAAATGTCCTCTGCACGGCCAAGCTGGCGCTTAAATCAAGGCAGATTTATTGGGCTTGCTCATCACTCTGCGTTTACGCTCGCACTCTCCACGAGCGTCTCTTCATTTATGTGGCCGCTCGCTGTCAGCAGCCGCTGAACTACTGATGAATGAATATCACTCCGGGCATCTGACGCCTCCCGCGCGCGCTCGAGCTTGCAGCTGGGTGCACTTTACCGCCGCTATTTGCATCGGATTTGCTTAAGAACATCCCAAATTCTGGAAAGTTTCCAGAGTTGAACGGAGATACACGAAGAAGAATGTCGCCATCCAATTTCAGGTTCGAGGCTTTGATCCAACAGCCTACAAGACCGCATAGTGAAATCCGTCCACCTGCTCCGCTCCTCACAGCCTAGAGAACAGATGCGCTGTTATCGCTGTTTGAGAGGCTGCAGAACTGACGCAGACTTCACCGTTCCAAACTGGAATAGAGAACGAACCTAGAATTCTGATGTTCTACCACGGTAGCCATTTCTATAGTAGGCTACTGCAGACAGTTATTGCTACTTGAGAAAAATCACAGTAATTATTAATTATCATATATACATTTTAGCTATACATTAACATTTTACATTGCATTTTTTTAAATAAAACTTATTATAAAAAATTAAATTTTATTTGCAAGTAAAATCGTGGTGCCAAAGTTATACCTGGATTGTTAAGTTCGCTGCACTTTGAATTTAATTACTGCTAAAGACAAATAGACAGTTTGACAGTGGTGAAAATACGAAGTCAACACAGTTTACCTTATTGTATTGATATGGTAGGCCTATAGATAGATAGATAGATCCATTCATTTGTTTTTAATCTAAATTAACTTTTTAATTGTATATTTTATTCAACATTTTATTAGTTATAATAATAATATTGTATATTAATAATAATAATAATAATAATAATAATATACTAGCCCTTTAAGAAATCTCGACACGGGTCACGACGAGGCGTTCCCCATAGCGACCCCTAGAGGACGCAGTGTCTCGTTCCCTACTCAGGGAACCAATATTACATAAGTAACCTGAGACGATTTGCCCCATTTTAAAAAAAATATTTTGTTTTCATTTAAATTAAATTTTTTATTTTGTTTTATTCAACATTTTATTCAATTGAAAAGTTTCATTAATAAAATATTAATAATAATACAAATCTATTATGAAAAAATAGCTTTAAGAAAACATATTTTCACTAATTAAACCATATTGCCATAATTAAAGCATAAGCTATAAATTGCTATATATTACTATCTCTACATATGCTGTTTTCTTCTAAAAATATTAAATTCCCAGCTTTGAACTGCATGGCCTATCCATAATATGCTTTAAAAAGCGAGAAATGTCCCAGAGGTGAGAAAATATTTTCCTCTCCATCTGCAGGCCGCTGACTGTAATTGCTTGGGTTTCATATCATGTCCCACTGTGCTAATGCCCTGTGGTGCAGACCCTACATCTGACTTGTTAATGACATGTTGTCATTCACCCAGAGTGTGACTCATTGTGCCAGCATGACCCAAGGGAGCTCAGTTCTCCACACAGCAAATGACTGCGCTCAGAGCGTAACTCCAAGCTACAGCACTTAAATAGCAAGCCTGACACATACTATGTGCAAACACTGTCCTCAGGGTTCTGTATTAATGCCTCCTCAGCTCAGAAATAAGACCTGAGTGGGCTGCCTTAATGGTGTCTAGCCTCTGTCCTGCATAGGAGTCAACCAAAGGTGCAGAGATTACAGGACATCTCCTAGAAAAAGAAGAGAATCAGTCATCATTCAGTTAGCCACACTGGCCCACGTATCATTAAAAATGGTTGGCTTCTCACATATCAGGTGTTTGAAGCAATGTTCCTGAGAGCATTTTTTCTCAGTATATAGGTCCAAATGAAAACTTAAAAAGAGAACATTGAATGTATTCATTACACAATAGTTAGTTATTGTTCTCGAACCGAGCAGCATTCCAGCTTACCCAGAAGCACTGGGACTTCACTATTTGTATCTCTTCCCCCTTCCGTGTTTGCACGCTACAGACAGACAGTAGCTGTGTCCGAAATTGCATACTGTCTAGGTACTACATTTGGTTAGAAACTACTTAAAAACCTTTAAGTATGTTCTATATAATATTAATATATGTAGTATTAATAAAATTTGAACGTACTATATTAGTCATGTGGTCACTGTCACGTGACCTACCAGTGTACTATGAATTTGGACATACTACTACTCTTTTGGCATATGCCTGTTTTTCGCATGTTATATAGCAGTGGTTCTCAATTCCATATTTTGTATGTATCTCTTATTACTTTAGACGTTTGCTCTATTGACCAAGTGCCCTGCGAAGTGGACTTCAAGAGATATTCCACCATGATTCCAGTCCGAAGGGAGCCTACGTGTTCCATTCAAAGGGCATTAAAGTGTGCAAGACGTAAATTTAGATTGTATTTATTTACAGTATATTATGTCACACTTCACACTTCTCTAGTAAGTTTCGTCTGTGTGTGAAGATGCTACAGGCCATGGCGTAGCGCAAATCCGTGACTGAATGTTCCAAAGTGAAGTAAACTTCAACGGATTTCCCATGCTCAGGAAGTATAGGGAGCAATGAACACTGTAGGGACCATGTCAGTCGGAACGGAGTTCATGCATGGAGCTTTCTTCTAACAAGAGAGACATGCAAATAAGAGTGTTAAATAAGAGAGACATGCAAAATATGCAGAGCAGGGGGTCGCCAGGACTGGAATTGAGAACCACTGCTATATATAGTATGGAAGTAGGCATATTCAGATGCAGTAGTTGCATTTAAAAACATGACAAGTAGTTGCATTTAAAAACAAGCATGGCTGTGGAATGAAAAAAAAAATGAAAAAAAAGCTAGGTCTAAACGTGTTTTTTTTTTAATACATAAAATCTAAATTGACTATTCTTATTTTTTATGGAATACTGAGGAATTTATTATAAATGGTTTGTCCACACCACACACATCTTTAATCAAAATAAATGGATTGGTGTTTTGAATTATCCATGGTACATTTTTGTTGTTCATTGTTTGTGACAAAAACTTTCAGCTTCACGCTAACAGAGCTACTCTCTTTTTGCACTCTCTCATTAATAACATTTGTTATTTTTATGAAAAAGTTACATAATGTAGCATTAAACTGAGCACCGCGTTTTAGAAAGTAGTGTCACGTGCTTGAACGCATGTTTACATAGAAAAAACAATGGAAAAGCAATGCAGTGGAATACAAAAATGCTTTCTGTGTGAGCTATTTCTGTACTATATCTTTGTATGGGATATAATGCTGCATGCAGGTCCTCCTGGGACATTCGTACTTACGAGTTGACAAGTCGTAATTACGACGTCAGGTGCGTTCAAGTCAGTTTAGTCGGCACAAGATGGCGGTTTACCTTCTTTTAATAAATTACAAGAAAATACAACAGGGTCTGTTAACTCTGCTTATAGAAAATGAAGAGCAAAGAATTCGCATCAGGTGTGTTTTGCGTTTTTAATATTTTTTTTAGACCAGGATCCCAGTATAACTGATTTTCAGCATCAACAATTGCTAAAATACAGAGATTAAAAAAAGCTGTTGGCTAAATGCAACATGCAAAATGGCAAATCAAAAGATTTTTCACCTATAGGTGCAAAAATGATAGCTTTTTTTTACTTGGATTTCATTAACTAGCTGCGTAACAAGAACATTACCAATTTAAGTTTATAGGACAACTAAACTATCAATTTAAACAAAAATTTACCATTAACTACAGACAGGAACAAACAGGAACTACAGACAAAATCCATCGATTCCGCCATGTTTCTCATTGACACGCCCCCAACTCGGAAACTCGGGGCTTAAAGAAAATTTTGAGTTTCCCACTTGTAATAACGACTTTGTGGTGGCGTTCATGTGCGTTCAACTCGTAAATACCATCTATCCGACATGACTTGAACGCACCATAAGAATAAGAGTAATAGCCCTTTGTTTTGGTGTGATATTTCAAATTCAGTAACTCAGTTACACCGATTCAATCAGGAACGAAACTCCGAGACGCGCAGGCGCAACGTTCGTATTTTCATTGTCGGATCAATAACAAAGTAACAAGAAATATTGTTGCTTAAAATGTGAGTTAATCATTATTAACTTACTAAACTGTTGTGTATAGGCAGTATCAGACTCACAAATAATGTTGTTTTCGGCTGTAATTACACGAGGCACTCGGCAGATTAGAATCACAGCACTCTTCTCACATGATATTGCTGAAGTTTAAGCGGGTGGAATAATTCGCCTGGAAACATTTTTGAGCAAATCCATTACAGTGGACGGATGAGAAGTGATGATGCGTGTAATTATATATGATTAAAGAAATTAATGGGAGTTAATCCCCTGATGAAGCGCTTTAATACTACGTTTTAGTTATTTAACATGCAAATAGTGTGGTCAGCGAGCCCTAGACAAATTAATAGACTGTCTGTCCAATTAGTTTATTTAAGCATTTAAACTCTAACTCTGTAAATTCACACACTTGCTTAATGATTTGTCATGCCACACTCAAATCTATAAGAAAACTTTCCTATATGCTGAGCGTGCGAAACCGCTTACAGCTTCTCTAACAATCTGAATGTTTTGGCACTTAGTAATGAAGCAAGTTCACTATCAGATGATGTAAGTTACTTTAAATATGTGCATGACTGCCAAGTTGTGGATAGGACAGTAGAACAATAATTTAAATTGCCTCCACTTTCTCGTGATCATATGTTTTAGTGTGAAGAGCCTTATAGGAGTCCATATAGACTGGATATGTATGTAAGTCTAGACATATAAAATGTGTGTTCTGTCTACCAAACAGTAGGAGCATTACATGATCAATAATCTTTATAGTTTTATAATAAGATATACATTTTCTATTGAAACATTTTATTTGTCAAATCTAGTACAAGTATTGGCTGTTCAGAATGTAATGTCTTCTTTTCCACTTGCAGTTTCTTGTTGTGAGAAGATTCATTCACACACTGAAGATGACCTCTTCAAAAAGCTCTTTGATGGCTACAACAAGTGGTCAAGGCCTGTACCAAACACCTCTGATGTCGTCATTGTCAAGTTCGGTTTATCTATTGCCCAGCTCATTGATGTGGTAAGTTAAATTAACTATTTTCAATTTGAATATATTTTAAAATTTATTTATTTCTGTGAATGCAAAGCTGAATTTTCAGCAGCCATTACTCCAGTCTTCAGTCACGTGATCCTTCAGAAATCACTCTAATATGCTGATTTGCTGCTCAAGAAACATTTCTTAAATATCAATGTTGAAAACAGTTATGCTGCTTAATTGAAACATGATACTTTTCTCAGGATTCTTTGAGAAAGCATTTATTTGAAATAGAAATCTTTTGTAACATTAAAACTGTCTTGACTGTCAATTTTTATCAATTTAATACATCCTTTATTCATTTATTTTAAAAGATCTTGTTGACCACAAACTGTTGAATGGTAATAAACATTACAATTTTTTATGCTTTTACTGTTACTGCTATTATTATTATTAACTAACTACTAATACTTTGTCAGATTGCAATGGAGATAAATGCAAGAAAATGTCTGAGAAGAGTTCAAAAACAAATTTCGCTTTGTCCTGTTAAGTTACACACATTCAGACTGCTATTCATTTCAAACCTTTTAAAAAAAAATATGGGCCACTTGTAGCCTACACTTGCATCACGTGCATCCTTGATCAGTGTCTAGGAGAACAACGGTCTGTTTTGGTCCAAGGTTTTCTAAAGCTTACCATACTTACAATGACAATAAATAACAAAATGCCATTTTTTTTTTTCATTTTGTTTACAAATGTGCTGAAATATTCATTTCATAAAGGCAGTAACGCCAACATCCTACTGTATATTGCCTTAAACCTTTGAATCTTGATGAATTAGGGTACATGGTCCTTGAAGGCTCCAAGTCCATCAGAAGATTAAAATTATAAAGTGTTTGTGACCTCTCTGAACCAAACGCTTTCTGCTGGAGCAAACCCAGCATCCTGACTCATCTAATACTCACCGTCCTTCCTTGTTTTTCTCCTCCATAGGACGAGAAGAATCAGATGATGACAACAAATGTCTGGCTAAAGCAGGTGTGTGCAGCAGGAAAGTTGTGTGGAATGGAGAAAATTATTAAACAATATTTAAGAATATTAAATAATATTATAATATAATATTAATAACTATTATATTATAGTGGTTTAGTTTTAATTTCCTGAACATTTGTGGCCTCTCACTCAGGAGTGGAATGACTATAAACTACGCTGGAAGCCTTCAGACTATGACAATGTGACTTCTATCAGGGTTCCGTCAGAACTTATCTGGGTCCCGGATATAGTTTTGTACAACAAGTGAGTAACGTACAGTATGTCATATAACTAAAATAACCCAATAACTTAAGTCCTATAACCAAACTGTGTGCATTTAGTGTAAAATGGTTTGGAACGTAATAGTAATAATAATAATAACAATAATTATCATTATTATTATTATTTTATTTATTTAGGCTAGGATTATTTTTTATAAGGCTTAATTAATACAGTTATTTATCATTTGTGTATATCCAAACTGTGTATAACCAAACTGTGCTCATTTAATGTGAAAACATTAAAATCTAAAATATATAACATAAAATATATAAAAATGGTAATAAAACATCATATTCATTGTTAGTCATTGTAACAGCAAACATACAAGATGTAATTGCTTCGAAGCAAATATTAAAATCTCTGAAAATGAATCTTGCAGAATTGTATGATGCATGAAACAACTTTACTGTTTTTCCTGTAGTAAAACTGATCAAATAAATTTTATTGTCCTCTTCAGTGCAGATGGGGAATTTGCAGTGACCCATATGACCAAAGCCCACCTCTTCCACACAGGTAAAGTGCGCTGGGTTCCACCTGCCATCTACAAGAGCTCATGCAGCATCGATGTCACCTTCTTCCCCTTTGACCAGCAGAACTGCAAGATGAAATTCGGCTCGTGGACTTACGACAAAGCCCAGATTGATCTGGAGCGCATCGAGAACACAGTTGACTTGAAAGATTACTGGGAGAGCGGCGAGTGGGCCATCATCAATGCTGTTGGCACCTACAACACCAAGAAGTACGACTGCTGCCATGAGATCTACCCAGACATCACCTACTTCTTCATCATTCGCCGTCTGCCGCTCTTCTACACCATAAACCTCATCATCCCTTGCCTGCTCATCTCCTGCCTGACCGTGCTGGTCTTCTACCTCCCGTCAGATTGTGGTGAAAAGATCACGCTGTGTATCTCGGTCCTCCTCTCGCTCACTGTCTTCCTGCTGCTCATTACAGAAATCATCCCCTCCACCTCGCTTGTGATCCCACTTATTGGTGAATATCTGCTCTTTACTATGATCTTCGTCACCTTGTCCATCGTCATCACTGTCTTCGTGCTTAACGTCCACCACCGCTCGCCCAGCACTCATAAGATGCCCCGTTGGGTTCACTCAGTCTTCTTGGATTTGATCCCACGATGGTTGTTTATGCGTAGACCTGCACCGGACAGCCGTCGCAGGCAGAAACTCCTCCTCCTGCAGCGGCAGGGCCGAGGAATGACGTCACGGGTGCCTGGACCTGCAAATGCAACTCTCAGTACATCTACTAGCTGGTTTAGAGGGGAGAACTTTGGGGAGGATGAGTCTCGCAGACGCTTCTGTTATAAGGACTTAGAACTGGGAACGCTGTCCTCTGCAATCTCACTTTCACTCCAAACACCTTCGCACTGCCCTCTCAGCTCGACTCCACCTTCTCTACAGAAATTCGGGCCCTCCTCTAGATTGGACATGGGCGTGGCTTCCAGGCAGCCTGGCGGAAGAGTTAATGTCACAAAGCGGTCTGACATGACATCAGACAACCCGGGGTTCCCTCTGTCCCCCACTGTCCTGCAGGCTCTGGAGGGGGTTCACTACATAGCAGAACACCTGAGAGCAGAAGATGCTGACTTTAGTGTAAGTTTTGTTCAGATTCCATGAAAAAAATAAAAAATAATACACTACGGTTCAAAAGTTTGGGGTTGGTATGATTTTTTTAATGTTTTTGAAAGAAGCACACAGGCTGCATTTATTTGATCAGAATACAGTAAGAACAGCAATATTCTAAAATATATTACTTATATATTAATAATTTAAAATTTAAAAATGTTATTTATTCATGTGATGGCAGAGCTAAATTTTCAGCTGCAATTACTTCAGTCTTCAGTGTCACATAATCCTTCAGAAATCATTCTAATATTCTGATTTAATGCTCAAGAAACTGTTGTGTTCCACTTTTGTGGAAACTGTGAATTTTTTTCAGGAATCTTGATGAATATAAATTATTTGAAATATAAATATTTTGTAACATTCTAAATGTCTTTACTGACATTTTTATCCATTTAATGCGACTTTGCTAAATAAAAGTATTAATTTCTTAAAAAAAAACACATATAACCATGGTTCCCTGAGAAGGGAACGAGATACTGCGTCCTCTAGCGGTCGCTATGGGGAACCCCTTCGGCGTGACCGGTGTCTGAAGCACATGTGTAAACACGACAGTAACATTGGCTGGCGACATACATCATCCACTTCTTCATCTGAAGCTCATATCTGAGGCATGGCAAGAAAAGAGGACGCAGTGTCTTGTTCCATTCTCAGGGAACCATGGTTACATGCGTAATCTGAGACATTCCCTTTCGAGGGAACTCGAACTGCGTCCTCTAGCGGTCACTATGGGGAATGGAATACCCACGCTGCCATGCTGAGGGGAGTGCATGACAAGTACCAAGGTGAGCACTAAGTACTGACTCTACAGCATAGCCATAAAAGACGTACCCTTAGACGCACCAGCGGCTGTCGGTGACGCTATCCCCTTCAGCCAAAGGCCCAAGCTACCCAGGAAGGCCCAATCCTGGGGCAGAACTCGAGGCTCAGAATCACAAGCAGTGTGATTCTTTTAGGAGGATATGGCTGAGGGTCTAGGTTTGCCACAATACCAGACCCTGGCCTGTCACCTAGGGGTCTTCATACATCAACCCCTAATTCTCCCAGGGAGGCTGCCGGGTAGCCAATCGACCTGTCTGCCAGAGGCAGAGTCTCTGAAAGTGACTAGTGTAAGGGAAATGGCAAGGAACCGGCAATAAACGCCTTCCACTGTACTGGAGACTGAGACTTCCCATAGGATCTTCCTCTTCAGATCCCCTGAGCTGGCAGCCATGTCTGGCCACTGCCCAGTCCAAGCGGGAAACGTTTGTCTTGGTATCACTGAAGATATATGTCTAGAGTGGAACCCAAGGTGAGAACCGTGTACTCACAAGAAGGGTACTATGCTGGCAGCTTGTGACCCTTACCATATATGGATTTTAGAAAGTGCACAGGATGCTCAGCGTGTGCGTTTACCATAAACATGGATTTTAGAAACCACTCAGTCCCATTAAGGATGCCGTGAAGAGGCCTAGTGACCTGGTATGACTGCATCATGGAGCAAGAGGAGGACTCACATACTCGACCCTTGCACATAGTATGTTTCCTGAGAGTAACGTGCTTAAGGTGACCCATCAAGCCATGGGCGGTCCCACTGTTACTCACAGTCCATCAGGGAGGCTGAAAGGAAAGCCTAGCAACCTGGTATGACTGCTTCACAGGCTCAAGGGGTGGGGTACTCAATTCTCAAAGTGATAGGAGAACTCACGTGCTTGGAGAGATACATGATGGGGCTCCATGAGTGGTGTACTCACAGCAGACCCTCCAATTGAGAGGAGCACCGTCAATTCAACCATAAGGGCAGTCACATGATGGGAGCTCCGGGAGTAGCATGCTTATTAGTGACCCTGTAATGAGGAGAGCAATGCCAGAGGAAAAGGCCTAATCAACCTGGTATGGTTGCCTCACGGAGCTCCAAGGAGCAGAGGACTCAACTCTCAGAGATGAGAGGGGGACTCACCCTGGGAGCGGCGTGCTCATAGGCGACCCTCTGGAGTGAGGGGAGCACTGCCAAGCTCGATCACAGGAGCAGCCTAACAGGGAGGCAATAAAAATGGCCTAACAACTTGGTATGACTGCGCACAGAGCTCCGGGAGCTGAGTCCTTGGCTCTCGAATTGAGAGGAGAACTCACATGCTCACTTTGGGAGCGGCAGGCTCCTAGGTGACCCTCCCGCAGTGAGAGGAGCCCTGCCAAGCTCATATGGGCAGCCTTGACTGTACATGGAGCTCCGGGAGCATAGTCCTTGGCTCTCAGTTTGAGAGAAGAACTCACATGCTCCGTCTGGGAGTGGCAGGCTCATGGATGACCCTCCCGCATTGAGGGGAGCACTGACAAACTCAACCGTAAAGTGCCTAACAGGGAGGCCGAGGAGGCTTTCCAAACTGCACACAGAGCTCCGAAAGTGGAGTACCTGACTCTCAGAATGAGAGGAGGACTCGTAAGCTCAGTCTAGGAGTGGCATGCTCATAGGTAACCCTGACTGCAAGGTCAGTCCATCAGGGAGGCCAGAAAGGCCCATCTACCTGGAATGACTGCCTTGAGGAGCTCAAGAGAACGAGGTACTCAGTTCTCAGAATGAGAAGAGCACTCAGTGCTCAATCTCATACCTCAGTATGAGAGGCGGAAGAGTCCCATACAACAAGGCTGTTGTTAGTATCCTGTTGAAGGGGGTCGTGGGAGTGGCAGGCTCTACGCAACCCTTAGGACCAGGGGGAGTGATGCCATCTCAACCACGAAAGTAGACCAGGACCCAAAGCCACGCATGCACATGATATGGTTCCTCAGAGCCTTCAGAATGAAGGGGATATCCTCACACTTGTACCTCAGGGGAGATGGTGCACTCAAAAACACTCTCAGAGAGAGGAGGAGTCATACCAGTCCAACCATAAGGGCAGCATGACAGGAAAGGCCACTGTGGGTCTGACGAGCTGTCATAACTTTAGAGCAGAATTCAGGAGCAGAGTTACTCAATGCAGAGTTACTCAATAGGGTATGCAATGTCACTCAGGAGTGAGAGGAGTACCGCCAGGCTCAACCTGGAAGCTACCACCTCAAAGAGATCCTTTTTTCATGGCCTACCAACTTGAGGTTGCAACGCTGCTCTGGAACCTTGATGACTGCGGAGGCCCCTGAGTGGGCCTAACAGCTCAGTGTCAAGGTAATCCAGTGATGGCTTAAGCGGGGAGGCCCAATGGAGTAGGCCTAGCAACCTGCTGTTCAGGAACCAGGATTCTGTACCAGAGATGTTCCCACGAGCAGTCCCAACACACGGGGCCTACGACCCCCGACTCTCAGACAGAGGAGGCTCACAGAGAGCCATACAACCCTGAAATAGGGATGCTCCGATCAGGATTTTTGCAGCCGATACTGAGTACCGATTTCTTGTAATTATAATAATTATAATTATTATCATGGTGATTGGCCGATTCCGATGCCAATTCTGATGCTTCAAGCTTTATATAGATGGTTTCATCGGGCGCACGCGCCTGGCCCAAAGTTTACTTCCGGTCTGTGTTTGTTTATCAGTCTGGCTATGGCACCGGCTACAAACGCAGTTAAAGTTAAGGTGATGAGTAGACTGAAGTTGGGCTCAAATGCAGATTATTTGTGGGTGGATTGCGGGTGGATAAAATAAATAATAAATTATGCAAATATTAACTACATTTTTTTTTAATACATTTTTTTCATGAGGCAGACGATTTCGTGTGTGTGTGTGTTCGTTCGCCTGATCGGGAAGTTGCAGTGACAGAAATGGTGACATTCCAGATAAAGTTTGAAAGGAGTAAAGCCTGTGTTAATGCTATTGAGTAGGCTAATATGGCCAAAGAAGTTATTTTGTTTTATAAATAAATATTAATTTAAGAGCAGCCCACGGCTCACGATTACCCCTTACGGCTCCGACGAGATTTTGTTCCGTCCTCCACGCTGTGACACCTCACAAAAGACTATTTTTAGCCAAGCAGCACGGAGAGCCGCGTCAGAAACGTGCCGCGGCTGGCTGATAAACACAAGCACTGACTAGAGCGGCCGCGATCAGCTCTGGTTCCCATGGAGCCGTAATGCGCCGCAGACGTGTGCAGTAAGGCGCAGATCAGCTCTAACGTCACTGAAT